ATTCTTGCACGCCTTGCGTGCCTATGTTATGGGTTTGATATTGATATTGTGTAATTTGAACTGGTTTTGTGGAATATGAAAACCTAAAAACACTACGATCATTGCTGGCAACAAAATAAGACCGTGCTATTGCGTGACGATGTTTTAGCAGTAACCCATCGAGCTAAAATAGTTTGGTTGTCACGTGATTGTCCGTACGCCCCCTTTATGTAAATCAATGTGAATTGTCACTCTACAACAACCTAGTTCCCCAGGATTTTCCTTAAGAGATCAGAAGGGGGGAGGGTTAAAGCATACATCTTTGATATTGGGTATCCATGTTATGTTCAATTGACACATGTCAAAACAAGGCATCTGCTGACCAGTATCACTTGACCATATCGCAGGCTCGTTTTTAGAGCTCATCGAGGTCACATGTTTTCTTAAGTTGACCACTGACCAGGTACAGGCTTTCAATTGGATCCCAGGCTCAAGCAAGGTTAACTTGTTGTAATCAGGAGCTCTGCTTTTAGACTTGGCTAACCCTATATTTTACTTAAATTGATTCTTGTTGTAAAATGAGTTGGAAAAATTATCCAGAATCAACACCAATCTGCAGTTTTACAGACTGCATGATGTTTAGCTGTCTTTCTGGGAACATTTCCATGTAGTTCTAATAAACAAAGTCACTGATCAATTGTTAAAATCAGATCTCATAAAGTAGGCTTAATATCAAATTTCCTAAGGTAAACCAAATTCTTAAAATGTTTTCTTTTTCGCTGAACATCACAACCAGACAAACTTGTTGGATTAACTTTATCATAATTGTCAAGAGTCCACTGAGTGCTGCTACCTCCAGGGGCTTTTTATTCACAAAAAAATAACTCTTGTATTGTCATGCTTGCGCACAAACCCACTAAATTAAAAACAAAATTGGAAATCTGGTGTCTCCGCGTAAATTTCTCTTACACGGAAGAGTAACTTAAATGTTGATTATGCATGCAATTCTTACAATCACAAAATACCACGCAGATAACTGAGGCAGTACCACTTGTATTTATTTCCATTTTTTTTTTTTCATTGACCTTTCAGCTGCAACATTTTATAAGTTTCTGAACAAAGAACCTTAGGTATGTTATTGGCCATGTAAAATTATGATTTGCAACAATCTGGATTAGGAAAGACCTCATTCAAATTGTTTTTCTGATTATAAATCATTTCTGCAACATCAGTCTGCTTATGAAAATTCGCGTAAAATCATTTAAAGTCACCTTGATAGGGAAAACTGCATTCAAATCTTATTTCAACACACAGTTACAGTAATATATACAACTACAAAACTAGTTTTGTCCATTAACTCTTAATTGGGTCCCCATAACAGAGTTAAATCCAAGATGACCTCATGTCACCGTGCATGAAATATAAACCTTGATACCACAAGTTTAACTATAAATAATTTGCATTCTTTTTTTCAGTCTACTTATTTATTTATTATTTATTTATTTATTTATTTGCTGGTTTATTTCTATCTTATTATTATTGTTTCTATCTGGTTATATTATTGTCGGTTGTCAATATTCGGTATCAAGTTATATTTTTCGTGCATGGTTACATGAAGTCATCTGAAATTCAAATCTTTACTGGCGACCAACTGAAGAGGTCACAGACAAAACAAGTCTTGAAGTCGCATATACTATGTAACTATGTATCAAAGGAAAATTCGA